AATGAGTCATCTACCCTTAAACTTCTAGGATTAACTCTTACTTCCAATCTTCCTTGGAAATCATATATCAAATCCATTGCAAAATTAGCATTTGCTAAGGCTACACCTCTTTATCAAGCTTGACACTTTCTTACCCCGGATTCTATTCTTTATCTCTATAAATCTCAAATCCGGCTTTGTATGGAATACTGTTGCTATATCTGGGGCGAATCTTCTAATGATGCCCGCTCTCTTTTAGACAAGGTACAAAATAGCATAGTAAACATAGTTGGACCTGCTCTTGCAGCCAACATCTAACCATTATCACATTGTTACTTCTCTTTCTCTTTTCTACAAATACTATAATGGGCACTGCTCTAAAGAGCTAGCGTCTCTTGTGCCATATACTAAAATTCATTCACGTGTTATTTGTCATTTAATTAAGTCTCATCCTTTTTCTCCGACTGTTCCTAAATGGTCCATAAACTCCTATTCGTCTAGTTTTTTTTCCTCAAACAGTTTTTTGGAACTCACTTCCATTTTGTTTTCCTGATTCATATAATTTGCAATCTTTTAAGTCGTCTGTCAATCATTATCTTGCTCTACAAACTTAATCTTTTCTCTTCCAGTAACTTCTAACTCTCTAATAGTATATATATACATATATATATATATATATATATATATATATATATATATATATATATATATATATATATATATATATATATATATATATATATATATATATATATTTATGTATGTATGTATATATATATATATATATATATATATATATATATATGTGTATATAAAATATATATACATATATATATATATATATATATATATATATGTGTGTGTATATAAAATATATATACATATATATATATATATATATATATATATATATATATATATATATATGTGTGTGTATATAAAATATATATACATATATATATATATATATATATATATATATATATATATATGTGTGTATATAAAATATATATACATACATATATATATATATATATATATATATATATATATATATGTGTATATAAAATATATATATATATATGTGTATATAAAATATATATACATATATATATATATATATATATATATATATATATATATATATATACATATATATATATATATATATATATATATATATATATATATATATATATATATATATATAAATATATATATATATATATATATATATATCTTTATTTTCTTCCTAAATGATTTACAGTAAAAAGTGCAAGAATAAAAATACTGATTAGTTTGAAAGTAAAATTTTATATTACACTAAAGAGAAAGTAAAACTAATAGAATAAAACCAATATATATATATATATATATATATATATATATATATATATATATATATATATATATATATATATATATATATATATATATATATATATATATATATATATATATATATGCATTAGCTACACACATGAGACATTGTGCACAACAAATTAATTGGGACAGTTGCAGAACTCTAAAAGTTGATGTTAAAAAGTTTGATAGGAAGGTTTGTGAAGCACTTGAAATATAGTACCACCAATGTGCCCCTCAAAAAAATGGTATCAATTTAGATGAGGGACAATATGTCAACAAATTTTCGGATACCATTTCTAGCACACTTACTTCAAAAAAAGATGAAACCATTGACATAAAATAGAACTGCCATTTTAAAAATAAGATATAAACAGAAACAAACAAAAAAATTTTAAGCTGAAGACACTGGACAAAAAAAAAAACAAGACAATCCAGCAAAAATTTCTTTTAAAAAATAAACTTAGTATCAAGAGAAATTTGTATTTATTGATGTTTATAAAATAATAATAATAATAATAATAATAATAATAATAATAATAATAATAATAATAATAATAATAATAATAATAATATGGACAGGAATGACGTGCGATCGCACTCTGTAAATGACCATGCTAATAGTTTTTTTCTTTTCAACTTGATCACAACTAATTTGATGTTTTTAGAATTTAAATGCAATAGAAAAAAGTGATACCTAATAAATAACTTTTAATTGTTGATCTTTTCTAAAGTTTTTATTTTACGCAAAGAAAAAATAAAAACATAAAATTAATTAAAATGATTGTTTAAATAAACGCATTTTGTGTAAGTTAATAAAAAAAAATGTTTAATATAAATTTTTTTTGTGTAGGCATGTATTTATTATGATAAATTTAAATGTTTGAAACTATTTTTTCTTGCCTTCCTAAAAGTCTTTTAAATGATTATTATTTATAAGAATTCTTTTTAAGTTTATTTTATAAATAAGTTTAAAACATTTTGACGACTTGCTTAGAACTTGTGTAGGAACATTTGAATAAGAATTATACAAGAATAACTTTATTTACTAATATAAGCATGTATTTTTTGTATTAATGGAAAAGTTTGAAAATATTTTGCAATGTTCATACGATTGATTTTTATATATAAACTTACGATTTTTTTAAATCTTTTAAACACATTTTATTTTTTTTTTAAAAAAAATTTTTTTACAAATTATGATAGGAATGAATGAGTTCAAATCTATTATAATAACTTTTATATTTGTTATGTGAAACGCTTATTAATAAAGTTACAAATTGCTTGTGATGCTCAATATTTGATATAAATTAAAATTAAATTTGATGCTCAAATTAAATTAAATTAAATTGCTAGTTTTTTTTATTTCTATTTTTACAAAGCTAGTTAGTTAGTTAGCTAGTTAGTTTCTATTTTCAGCACGTTTCTGAAATGTTTAAATCATCAAATCATATAAACAATCATGGTCAAGTTGTCAAAACCTGTCCAAGCCTGATATATATATATATATATATATATATATATATATATATATATATATATATATATATATATATATATATATATATATATATATATGTGTGTGTGTGTGTATGTATATATATATATGTATGTATATATATATATATATGTGTGTATATATATATGTGTGTGTGTGTGTGTGTGTGTGTGTGTGTGTGTGTGTGTGTGTGTTTATATATATATATATATATATATATATATATATATATATATATATATATATATATATATATATATATATATATATATATATATATATATAATATATCATCTTACAACTGAAAATTGACAAAAAATCAATGTTCATTTACATTATAAGATGTGAATTAGCAATTCGCTAAAAATTTATGAAAGAAAACACTTAGAAACTCATAAAAATTCCTCAACAATATATAACAACTTTAAAACATGCAAGTATAAACTTTTGTAAATATTTTCAAAGCCTAAAATGATAAGCTTTTAAAATTCAAAAAATTTATTTAAAATGTTTTCCTTTTAATATAAATTTATGTATTAACAAGTCCATAAATTTAAACTAAATTCTTAGACAATACAGCAATTTTCCAAAAACTTTCCAGTAAAATTCTAAAAAAGCGTATTAAAAGAATTTATTATAATCTTAATTATTTATTTCAATTTATAACCTTAATTTTTTATTCTTTAATCTAATTAATCTTCTAGTAACTTCTTAAAATTGTTACAGTTTTTTTTTATAATTTAACCTTTCAAAAATGTCTTGCAAAAAAAAAAAATTAATATATTTAAAAAAAATGTTGTAAACATTTCAATATCCTTCAATAAATAATTTAATCTAAATAAGCATTCAACATTCTATTACAATTAAATTTATAAGTAGATAAAATACAATAAAAATGGTAATAAAAAAACAACAAGTGGAGATTCCATAATTTTCTAAATTCTAAATTATTGCTCATGGTGACTTATTGTATCAAAACTGAAATCAACGTAATTTTAACTATAATTATCAACTAGGAATATAAAAAAGAATTAGTCAACCAGCACCTTAGTTTCATTCTATTGTAACATAAGGTTACTACTATATACCTAACCAAATACAGTTCCAACTATTGTTCCTCTTTGATTGGTTTTTTATCTTAAAAAATTTCTTTACACATAATATAAACATATCTATATACATTGGTGAATAAAGTGTTTGTCAAACTTATTAAACTTTATTCAATTGATCAACTGGTTAATAAAATTAACTGCAAATAGCCTATTAATTCTTTTTTATTCTAGAAACAAAAAGTTTTCAGTAAAATGACATTAAGAAAACAACATTTGTCTATATATTAATGATGGCTTTTTGAAGTTGCAACCTTTTACTACAAAACCAAAATTGGGAAACAATTTCAAATTGCTACAAAACAAAGCTATATTTTAATACAAATAACCTTAATGTTTTGGAACGGCTATTTCAGCCAGGGTTGGGATCAAATGCATTTGATCATATACAAATACATTAATTCTAGATTTCCAAATATAAGTTAAAATGCAAAAAAAAAAAAACAATGAATCTATTTTTTCCCTCAAAAAAACACTGGTTAACCTAGTTTATAGAGTTACAAATACATTTTAATCAAATACAAATATTTAAGAAATTTTTTAATCAAATACAAGGAAAATACAAATACAACAATTTAACCTATTATTACCAAATAAAAACACAATTACGTATTTGACTTCAACCCAGTCATGAATGACATAGAAAATTTGTGGTATACTTTGAACAGAAAATTTGGTGACCAAGCATTTAGGTGCAAAGAGGAGCTGAAAAGAACTATATAAAAAACCCATAACATAATATAACAACAGAAGAGACCCCATTTGATCAACTCAATGCCAAATTAAATAGCTAAGCTCATCAAGTCAAAAGGAGGCAAACTTGATAATAATTTATAAATATATGCATATATTTTAACGTAATTTATAAATAGTAATATATGTATAAAACAACTTTTTATAACTTACTTAAACATTTTAAATCAATAAGTTTTACTTTAAAAAATGACATTCTGTTAATTCTAAAAAACACAATAAAATAATTCACACTGTTTCAGGTATCATTATTTCATTGTTGGACATGTTCTCACACAAAATAATTAACAGTAACTTACTGTAGCCCATGATCTAACCATAGTGTCAAGATAGTTTTTCTCTTTTAAATATTCATATCCAACAACCTCAGAGACATAACTAGAAAAAGCAAAAAAAAAATTATAGTAAAAAAAGATTTAACAATAGCTTAAATAAATGCAAAATAAGTTCTGACAACAAAAGTTGTCAGAACTTATTTAAAAACTATTTTATCTTTTCATATCCCATCATATTATATCCAATTTTATACACTATCGTATCCTTTGTTTTTATTGCACCTAAATTTGTATGATTGCACATAATATTGCAAAGAATTACAAAAAACATATACAACATACATCCTTTAGAAATATTGAACTAAGCAACACTATATGACTTGAGCATGTAACTAAACAACATTGTATGATTTAAACATTTAATGTCTGTTAATATGCTTAAATAAAAAAAATAAACAAACTATTTTAATAAAGCATAAAAAATGTTAATTAGCATCTAAAATATCATACCGTGAAAACAGTCTAACTCCTTGTCCTCCTAAATGCATTAAACAAGGTTTTATTTCAACAAGCTTCCTAAGATTTGCCTATTTTGAAAAATTAAAAAAAAAAGCATTCATTATATATATATATATATATATATATATATATATATATATATATATATATATATATATATATATATATATATATATATATATATACTATTTGTATATATAAATATACATATATATATATATATATATATATATATATATATATATATATATATATATATATATATATATATATACTATTTGTATATATATACATATATATATATACATATATAATATACATATATATACTATTTGTATATATATAAATATATATATACAAATATATATATATATACTATTTGTATATATATAAATATATATATACAATATATATATATATATATATATATATATATATATATATATATATATATATATATATATATATATATATATATATATATATATATATATATATATATTAGGGGTGTCAACTATGCAAAAAATTTTCAAAACCACCCAAATTGAATTTTTTCCCATTCTAGTGTTTGTGTATAATGTAAAAAAATTTTTTATAACTATTCTAGAGCCCCCTCAGAGCCCCAAAAGACAAGCCCCAATTTCCTGTTTAAAACAGTATCTTTTTTAGTTAAAACACAGAGAAATAATTATTGTGAATCTCATTTTTCAAGTACTTAGAAATTAAATCACAGAAATCAAGTCAAACAAAAGCAGCTTGCATAATATATGTTAAATTATCCAGTTTAACCAAGCTAGTTCTGCATTTTTGGTTAACAGTTATAGTCAAAGTATCAGACGGGAACCCCAAAACTAAAATTAAGACTGTCTTTCTGAATGTTATTAATGTTGTTTCATTGTCCAAGAGTTTCTTTTGCCAAAATCAGGATATAGCTGCCTGTGATTTTCAACGCCCTGCAGCAACCATTCTCTTTGTTCTGGATCACTGGTTATGATGGTGGCAAATTCTGAAATCAGTTAAACTCCTCTTTCTGCGGTATCATTTACAACTTTTACCGTACGAACAAATTTTTCAGCTTCTTTGTATCCTGGTTGCTCTGTCCACTGTTCAATTGGTTTAGCAAGCCAATCTGTATTGATACCAAGAATGCTGAACAATGAGTGAGATTCAGGTCCCAGAAGATTTGACAAACCTGTTTAACGAGTGATTTGACGAAAAACTGGCTTACCAAGACAAAAATTTTTGGGTGCTGGAATTTCCAAGAGTTTGGCTGCCATATCTTTTTTCACAGTGGAACTAACATGTTTGCTGAAGAAAGCAAATGGAACTACCTCTTCTGTCAAATACCATCGGTGATTGGTTATTGTAGAAAGAATGACATCAGCAACTTCGTTGTCTATTTCGTTGTAGTCCATCATGTCGTGGATGAATTGCAGGTTATTCATAGGTGCATCAGCACCAATGCTAGCTTTTGTTTAAGCTGGTGTGTGGAAAAGAGAAAGATAACTGTTCATTCTAAAAAGTTTGGTCGTCATCCTCTGATCATAAGGCAATTGTTTAGAAAATATGAACATTTTGTTCACATAAATGTTACATGCCATCCACCGAGCTTGGTGGATAGCTCCTGGTTTAAAAAAGTGTACACCCCGCGGTGGAGTTTGCCCAAAGATGATCAGTGTGTTCTCAGCACATTCACAATAGTCATCTCTTGGAAATGAGATGACTATCAGAAAATTTCCCTCACTGTATTCTGGAGCACCCGACAGGTGCTCCAGAATACAGTGAGGAAAATTTTCCGTCCCAGTGAAGGGCACCAAACTGGGGTGGGTTGAGCCTCACATTATCTATAACACTCTCAGCAATCATCTGTCGATTTATCATTCTAGTTTGACAAGATGTCGATCTGGAGATATCAAAATTGTCCAAGTTTCCACCAGCAGCTTTAATTACAGCAGACACAATCATAGTTGTTTTATTATCAGACAATTTCAGCCTGTCTGCTGCAGTAGTGATTTCCTCGCATTGAATAATTCTTTTGGGGAGGTGAAGAGTAACAAATTCTGATTGTCAATTCATTGGAGGTTTATAATTCAAGTCCCACCCTAAACCAATATCTACTTCAGCAACAGTAATATTTTCATTAATATTCTGTTCTTCGTCATTAACTTCCATGTCCTCATAATCCTGATCATCATGTCTACCTTCTTTTTCTACTCTTTCTTTTTCTTCATTTCTAAGTATGATTTTCCGATCATATCTGACTTCTTTCATTTTTGCTTTAATCTCAAAGATTTTATCATGCCCTTCCATGGTCGCCTTTCTGTCTTTTTTTTGATCTAAATAGAATGCAACATCATCATCTTTCTTTTGGGCAGTCAGTAGCCTGGATTTCATGATTTCCTGTATAGCATCAGGTGATCCAATACCAAAAAGACTTGGCCAAGAAGTTAACACGTTTTCCGTCAGCATCACTTTCGCGATTCTTGTTCTTCAACTAGCAGTTCCACTAATTCCAGAGACACATAAGATCTAACACCGAATTTTGTCTTGTCTTTGTCTTGATGCGTGTCATGTTCCAGAAAGTTACGACAGAGTCGATTACTATATAGCCAATTTCTTGATTTGTTACATGATTTCAGACATTTTCTTCATCGTGTCGTAAAAAAAGAAAAAAATTTCAAAACCTGTCTGCAATTGGGTAGTTTGGAACCAGTTATTGATGGTGATGGGTCTCCAATTAACCAAAACTTAGTAGAGGCACAAGTAACAGGCCTTGTTGTTGGTGATGATGACGACGGTAAAGGCTGGTCGCTTGTGTCTGACAAATAACTGGAACTGGTTGGCAAAGACTTGAGTTTAGTTTCTACAACTTTACCACTTCTTGTCAACATTTCAGTTTTAATTTATTTAACTAAAACAGGAAACAGCAAAATAATTATAACAGTCAATATTACATATTAAATTGTATCAATATCATAATATTAATTTGCTTTTTTATGAAATTTGTAATCAATGCAAAAATGTGCTACTGTTTTAACCCATTCGTGCCTAGCGTCCCCAAAAATGGGACACTCTATAAATCGTAAAATGTAACAAAAAACTCAGGCACTAATGGGTTAAACAGGAAATGTATAAATATTTATGTATGTATGTATGTATGTATATAAGTTTCTATTCAGCACAAGATGGTCCATAAGGTTCCTTATGGACCATCTCAGATTTTAGTGAAACTTTTTGATTTTTTACATATATATGAGAAAAGCATGTTTTAAAAATCTTAGATCAACATTTAATATGGTTCTTGAGAAAATACTATTTAAGTAGTGGGCTATTTTGCATGAAATTTCACTTTACAAGAAAAAAGATTTTATTCATCATTTTTGACAGCTAATAAATTTTGAACAAGTTGGTTTTATACTTCAATTATTTTAAGATAGCAAGTATGCTATGGATACTTTTAGAAGAACAAAAAATTTAAATTCTGTCATATTAACTATTTCCAAAATGGCGGGTTAAAGTTGATATTTTTGTTTTAAGATTGAAGCTTAATCATAAAAACTAGTTCAAAAATTAATACAAATCAAAATACCTGTTGATCTACACGTGTTGGATAAATAAAAAAATCAGTTGATTAAAGAGCTGCATTCTAAAGTTACAGGTCATCAAAATGAGACGGATCTAGAGATGTAAGTTGTTTTTTTATTCTTGTTTTTTTGCCAAAAAAACCAAGGGCTTTAATTTTTGTTTCTTTTTTTGTTTTTTTTGGTGTTTTTAAACAAACCACTAAAAATAACTTTAATTTTGAGGTGATATATATTTTGAGGTGATATATATTTAAAGACATTTCTATTTTTCTATTTACCATTATAATGAATAAAAGTATTGTTTTTTTTAAATTTTCATCAAATAATATCAGCAATTGTTCTCCAATTACTAACTATAAGTTCTTCAGTTGTTCATTAAACAGTTTCAGTAATTGTTCTTTAATTACCTACTTTACTATTTCATATTACATTAAAAATAAAATATAAAAATAAAAGAAAAAAAGATCATTTAACAAATCTTTTTTTAATAAAATATAGTAGCAATTTAATAGAGAGAACTTTTTGTCTTTTTAACGCAGAAATGTTTTTTGAGATAAGAACTATTTTCTTTAACAAATTTTTCCTCAAAATTAAAAACACATTTATTTAATAGAATGAATGAGAAAATTATAAAAAATAAAAATATTATAATCTTATGAATGAAATACCACTGCATTGCAAAATATAAAAGTATTTTAAGTTTCAATGATACTTTGGCACAGTTTTAATAGAAGTTTTTTGTTCATTAAACTTTACTTGGTATCTTCTCTTTTTTTTTAATTTTCTATACTTTTAATTAAATTTTATTTGTCAACTATAAAATTATGTACCAGTTTACAATTAATTATATCAACAATAAATTTAAGTTAACTTTTATAATTGTATTTCATTAATAACTAAATTATTAATTATATTTTACAATATCAAGGTTCTAGTCATAAATTTGGCAGATTTCTAGTTATTAGGTCTAATATTTAAAAAATATGAGCATTAATAGTAAAAAGGTGGTATGTTGTCATACTGGTGGCAGAACAAAAACAACGGTGAGCACTTTATTTAAGCCAGCTAGCCAGGTGAGCAAAATGGAGAGAGTTCAATGTTCTTTTTGCAATGACATTATGTCAAAAAGTGGAACAAGAATGGAGATGCATATTAAGAAATGTAAAAAATGTCCAGGTGAAGTGAAACACAAATTTTTAAATGATGAGATAGTAGTGCAAAAACATATCGTAAAAGATATAATACAAAGCAAAATAATAAGCCAATTTAAAAATCTTATTCCTAATAATAACTTTAAAAGTGTCACAAATATTGCTCCAACCTTAAATTCAGATGCGTTTAAACATTCCGAACCAACTTCTAAAAGTGGAAAATCATGTTCAATGTTTGATAGTTTGAAACAATGTGAAAAGGTTAGTATTAACATATTTTTATTTGAAAAAGTTATAATACAATTTTTTTTTTAATTATTTATTTGAGTTTAT